AAAACCTAGCTGCCCCAAAATTCCCTCCTTTCTTTAAATCAGTACACTTAGAGAATCTCATTCTTGTTTGAAATCAATCAGCACCTTTACAGCTTGAGTCCCAAATAGCAGTAAATCCCTCAATTAACCAGGAAGAAACACACACCCTCCTCCCCTTGTCCATGGCCATCCTCGTCCCTCCCTCTGATGTCCATCTGGCCATGGCACCACCACAGCAGCACCTTGCCGAAGGAATTTCCACCGGAGATTTCCCTGTGCCTCTCACCCTGCTGGAGGCACCCCGCTCCAACCTGGGGTGTGGGGGACAGGGTGCATCACGGGCGGGTGCTGCCTCCAGCACAGCCACGCAGCAACTTCCCCCCATTGTGTCTCCCCTCCCTGGGCAGCCGGTCCAATCTGCAATCTCCCACCATCTCCCTCCCACCGGCCTCTGCCGGCTGTTCCTCCTCTTTGGAGCGCTCCACTTCCGCCACCCTGCTCCAGCCCTCCAGCGCTGCCATCTCTTTGTGCTGTTTGTCCGCCCCATCAGCTCAGGAGCTTTGGGCGAGGCTCTGCAGAGGGGTCCCTCCCACTAACCCCTTGCCCTTCCTCCAGTCTGAGCTGGTGGGACAGCTGGGATCTGTCCCAGGAATGGGGCTTGCTGTGGTGGACATCTAGAAACTTCCAGCGCCATGCGACATCAGCCTGCGGTCAGGCCTCTTGGAATGCCCTGACTGGGCCCTGCTCCAGCTCCGTGGAGGGAGAGAGGGGTCAAGGCTGTGACCAGGCACAAGCAGAGAGTGCTCTGCTGGGGCTGGGTGCTGCTGGTGCTGGATCGTGCTGGTACTGCCTGGCATCACCTCCTGCAACATGGCTGTGAGGGTGGGTGTCCTTGTGCTTTACAGAACTGTCTATGCTATAGAGACCGTGACTACAGACCTGGGCAGCATGTCCCATGCCAGGGCTCTGGTCTCAGCCAGAGGCTCTGGGTGCTGCTGAGATGCAGTGGATTTCTCATCAACTGCCATGTACTTTGAGGGGATGTGTTAAACTGAGAACTCCTCTCACACACCCTAATTTTGGAGGAGCTTCTATTGTGGTTCCAGTTCCTCTGGCTTGCAGGCTGCAGTATGAACTCACATGAGTCCCCTATTTTTGCAGACAAGTCTGGCAGAACATGGAGGAAAATGCAACTCCTTCCTATGGCAGAGACAAATCTCTCTAGCCTGACTCCTCCTGTGGAGAAATCGCATTACCTTTGTTCTTTGCTATCCTGTTTCTACCCACGAGACCACAGGGCCTTAACCGCTCATCGCAGAAAGCCAAGAGCAGGGCCTGGGCTTCCTCTCCTGCGACACCTTACTGCCATGCAGCAAACAATCAGCTGGGCGTGCCGCATCCTCTCCCAGCGCCGGCCCCGTCAAGCCCGCTGGTCTCGGGCGGCTCGCAGGACAGCGGGGTGCCGTGCCGTGCCGAGCCGGGCCAGGAGCCGGGGCCTGCGGGTTGCTCACTCTGTCCCCGCAGTGGGAAATTTCTCCGGTTCCTTTCAAACAGCAAACCCCGAAGGTGCACGTTCAGCTTGAATGGTGGGAATGTGCAGCGTAAAACCCGGGGTTAGTAACGTCAGCGGTCGTTACCTGCTGCTTCTGCGAGGGCAGAGCCTGGTCCCCTGCTCGGGACACAAGGACTGCCACGCAACACACACGGGGAGGTCACGGTGGGCAGCGCTGGGCCACGCGGGTGGCACAGCGAGCCCCAGGTCTGCGTCCGTCACGCCGGCTCCAAGCCGACTCTGCTGCAAACACCTTCGGAGAGCCAGCGTGGCGGCCGGCAGATGTGCGGGATGGCACGGGAGAGCTCCCGGCTCCTCTGTCTCCCCCAGCGCCCGGGGTGCCCCGGCCCGCCGCTGCTGCCGCGCCGCTCCGCGGCCGTCCGGCCCTCCCCGGTGCGGCTCCGGCCCCGGCGGCAGCGCTGGGCAGGACCCGCACGGCAGAGGCACGGCAGAGGCACGGCAGAGGCACGGCCGCCACCGCCCCGAGAGCGCCTCGGCGGCGACAGCGGGACCGGGCGGCCGGGGACGGGGCAGGCGGCAAGCGACCCCGCGGCCGGTCCCGTGGGGCTCGGGGGCCTCGGCCGCCCCCTCCCCCTGCAATCGAGCGAAATGGCTGAACATGTAGCAATAATGACCCGGCATTCAGGCTGCCCGGCCCGGCCGGCCCTAATCAGCGGCCCGCGGACCCCCCTCCTCTTCCCCTGCGCTCCCAGAATGGGGAACAAAACCCAGCACGTTTCTGCAGCCCCCGCGCATAAAGCGCCGGGCCTGGGCCTCAGTGGGGGGCAAAGCGGCCCGTCAATCTCGGCGCCGGGGCCCCTTTGTCCCTCGCCTCCCTGCCACACCTTTTGTTCCCGAATCCAATAAGCGCCTATTCCCGCTACCTTCCTCGGCGGCTCCTTTCAGCGCCGGCCCGTCGGCCACAATGGGCCCGGCTCTGAGCTACGCGGCCCCATTCAGCCCCCTTGGCACGCTCACAAGCCGGCCGGGCCGCCCTGCCCCGCGGGCACGACGCGGCGACCGCCCCGCCGCCGGGCACGGGCCCCGGCCCCTCCGCCGGGCACCGGCCGGTGGACGAAGGAGGATCGGGCGGCGAGTATTGCACCTGGTTTATTGACTGACTGGGCGAGCTGGCGCTGGCAGTGACCGATACAGAGTAGATAGAGGGGCCGCGGCACTAGCGGGCCCCGCCGTCGGCTTTTTACAAGCAAAGCTGCTCCGCTGGCGCGGCGCGATCGGCTCCGGTCCGCGGCGGCGCTTCGCTGCGGGATCGCGCGGCCCCGTCCTGCCGCGCAGCTCCGCTCCGTCCGTCGCCGGCCCCGCACCGATGCTCGCGGGAGCGCCGGGGTCCCGCCGCGCCGTCCCGCCGCCGCCTCCGGTCCAGGGCGCGTGGCGCGCAGCCGGGCTGCGGTGCGGGTGCTAACGGGGCCGCGGAGCCGCCGGGCCGTCCTGTCGGTCCGCTCCCGACCCTCAGTGCGTGCGGGCTACCAGGCCCGAATGCCCTGCAGTGCGCCCTGGCCACAGGAAGGCCCCGCCGCCGGCTGGTGCAGCGGCTGGCCGCCGCCGCTGAAACCCCCGAGGCCGCCCACGTTCACGAAGGGGCTGGCGGCCGCCGCCGGGCTGCAGGCGGCTTGCATGGACGCGCCGCCGGTGCCCGCCGGGTAGGTGCAGCCGTAGCCGGGGTTGTAGGAGGCAGCGTTGCCGTAGCCGTAGGCGGGGAAGCCATTGTAGGAGTAGGGCCCGTTGTACGCAGAGCTGTAGCCCTGAGACCCGCCGAGGCACGGCTTGCCGTCACGGACCAGCACGGGCACGGCCACCCTGCGCGGCGGCGGCGGGGCCGCGGGGCCGCCCAGCTCCAGCGACTTGTCCTGCCGCTGCCGCTTGCACTTGTAACGCCGGTTCTGGAACCAGATCTTCACCTGCGTGGAGGTGAGCTTGAGGCTGCTGGCCAGGTGCTCCCGCTCGGGCGCCGACAGGTAACGCTGCTGCTTGAACCGACGCTCCAGCTCGAAGACCTGCGCCTGGGAGAAGAGTACGCGCGGCTTCCTCCGGCTCCGCTGCTTCGGCCTCTCCGTCTCCTCCGCCTTCTCCGCTGCGTCCAGCGGCTTCTTCAAAACACAGCTCTCTGTACGGGGGAGCACAGGTCATGGCAGCGCCTGGCCGACGCCGGGCGCTCGCTGCTCCCGACGGGCCCCACCGGCAGACGAGAGCTCCGCGCCCGGCCGACCCCGCGCCGCTACGCGCCCGTCGGGGCATCGCGGTGCGGGCGGGGAGGCAGCGCTGGGACCGGCCGTCTCCGGCGCTGCCTGTGTTTGCGAGGGCCCGATTCGGGCGGCGGGGCCGGGAACGTTCCCGAGCCTCCGGGCCGGCTGCGGCGTTACCGCTGCGACACCGCGGGGAGAGCTCCGGGCCACGTCGCGCACAGCGCCGGGCACCTGCTCCGCCGCCGGGCCCCGCCGCAGCGGGCGCGGACTGGGCCTAACCCGACCCGTTTCTCCCCCTCCGCTACCGAAATTGCAGAGCCCGGGCCTGATCCGGCATCTCCGGACTGGGGCCGTGCGGAGGCATTCCCCAGGGAGGACGCGAGCGAGGCGCGGAGGAGGGCGGTGGCGGCCCCGCGACGTGCCTGTCCCGGCTCGACACGGCCAAGGGACGTGGAGCGGCAAAGCGCCGGGACCTGGGCTTCGCGGGGCGATGCCCGAGGGCTGGGAACGCACCACGGGAAGCCAGCGCGGGGCCCGTCCCGGCGGGGCGGTGCAGTGCGGGGAGCGCGGCGGAGCCGATACTCACTTGGATCTCGGACCGCCGGGTCCAGCTCTTCTCCCGGGCCGGGAGCCTCGCAGGAGCTACGCAGCACGGCGTGAACGTAGTTGTCGGCGGAGATCCGCGCGTCCGCCTGGCTGCCGGGCGCTGCCATGGGGCTCAGGTAGGAGAGCTTTTCCTCCTCCTCTTCCTCCTCGCCGTCGGAGAAGCGGGCGCCGTCGGCGGCCGCCAGCAGGCAGGCAGCGGGGTGGAAGTGGTGCTCCAGGTGGTGCGGGAGCTGGGCCCCATAGTGCGGGTCCTGCTGTTGCTCCAGGTTGAGGATGTCTTTGACAGAGAAGGGTGTGGAGGTGACGGGACTCGGTAACATCATCGGGGCAGCGCAAGCGGCCAAGCAGTCCCGCGAGCCCGGCGGCGCTCGGGCGGCTGCTCGGCGGGGAGCGCCGCGCCCGATGCGGGGGGAGCAGGCAGCGCCGAGAGACGAGGGGCCGCGCCTGCTTCTGTCTAAGTTGCCTCCATTAGCTCGGCGCTGGGGGTCTGCGTTTTGTTACAGCTTCTGCAGGGACAGCCAAAGGCTCGGGAGCCTCCTCTGCCCCGGGCCGGCACGTCACGGCAAGGAGGGGCCGGGGGCGGCCTCGCCATTGGAGAGAGGGGGAGGCAGAGCCGGCCCCCTGCCCGGCTCCGGCCGCCCGGCCAGAAATAGCAATGTATTAAGGCTGCACTCGGGGAGGCTGCTTTCCCGCAGAGCGCCCCGCCGGCCCGGCACCCGCCCGGCGGGCGCGGGAACGGTGCGCCGGGGTCGGGGTCCCCGCAGAGAGCCGCGGCAGCCGCCGCCGCGCCTCCCAGTGCTAAGCACGTGTAGGTAGGTAGGGACCCCCGCCCGGGCGCGCCCCGCTGGCCCCTGCCCGCACACGGCTCGGTCCGGCCCCGGTAGGGGCCGACATGTGCAGCCCCGCCGGCCCGGCCTCCCCGCCCCAGCCGCACGGCCCCGCAAGTGCTTCCCGCGGCGGCCCCGGACGCGTAGCGGAGGGGAGGTCCGCCTCCGCCACCCCGCAGCCCTCTCGCAGCCGACGGGGACCCCGCCGTCCCGGACGGGCCGTAGCCATGCGACGTACACGTAGCCAACCCACTCCGCATTCCCCCGCACCTCCGGTCCTTTCGCCGGTACCCCCGCAAATACCCCCGCGATCAGCCAATCTGCAGGCCGGCCCAGCCCGCCGCAGCCGGTGCGACACTCGTTCGCACAGGGGAACGCACGCTCCGCCGCCGCCGGATCGGGCCCCGCAGCCTGCGACCGCCAGGCCCGGTCGAGGCGGACCGGGCCGGGCCGGGTGGGCAGCCTGGGACCGCGGTAACGCGAGGCTGGGTGGGGAGCGCGATAACGCGATTGTTGGTGTTTCCTTTCGTTGTTTTTCGTTTTCTTTCGTTTCGTTTCGTTTTCTTTCGTTTCTCCCGCCGGTGACGGGCGTCCAGCGGGTTTCGCGGAGCCACCTCGCCGCCGTGCCGGCGGGTGACGCATCGAGTGAGCCTGTCGAGCTCTTCCGCACTGAGGGTCCCTCAGGCACAGAACTTCGCCGGGCAGCGGCCGAGCCCGGCGGTAATGCTGGGGGTGCCGCAGCCGCTCGGCGCTCCCCGCGGCCCCTGGACTTCTGCAGGGGCTCCGGGCTGCCGCGGCGCGGGGAGCGGGCGCACCGAGGGAGGGGCAGGGGGTCTTTGGTGAGATTTTTCGTTGTGATTAAAATCCTGCTGCCCCGCAGGGCTTGGATCAGCGACGAGGGAAGGCCACCGGAGCCGGCCGCGTACGCCGGGCAGGTGAGTGTCCCGGCGCCGGGGCTTCGGGGGGCCTTCCCGGGAATTTCTCTCGTGTTATTAACGTCCGGCGGCTCCACGGTTTAGCGGCTCTGTCGGTGCTCTCGTATCTTCGTCTTTTTGCACGTCCCAGAGACTATTTACTGGGGGCGCAGCCCGGGACAGGAGCCCGAGTCCCGCGCACTTCCCGCAGTGCTACCGGTCCCGCGGCGTGGCCGGTTCTCGTTTCCCCCGGCTGGCACCGGACCGCTGCCAGCACGCAGCTTCAAACCCCTCGCCATGTAAATATGACGATTCGGTCTCTTCTCGTCGTTCCCGTGGGAGACACCTTCCTGCGGCCCGGACGGTGGACGGGGAAGGTCGCCCGCAGTAAGCAGGCCTGACCGGGGACCGAATCTGCCCCGTGCCGCCCGTGCGCGAAGAAGCTCGGCGCTGCCTCGCTATTGGGACCCCGAAAATAATTAGTAACAACTAGTTCCTTAGCCGTGTTACACATCCGCCACCGTCCCGGGCCACTCCCGCCCGCCTCGGGGCCCTGGGCCCGGGAAGGTGCAGGCGCGGGGTCCGGCGGCAGTGCGGCGAGCGGCCGGGCTCTGCACAGCGCCGCGCTCCGCGGGAGCTCCAGTGCGGCCGAGTTTCCCGGCGGGGAGAACAGCGTCAAGGGCCGGCCGGTGCCCTTGGTGGTGGCGGCCATAAGAACTGCCGGGCCACTGCCGATGTCCGCCTGGAGCAGCAAAGGCCGTGCCGAGGGCCGGGCCGCGCCCCGGCAGGGTCTGGCTCGTTTGGCGCCATGGCGCTCACAGGAATCCCGGACGGCCCGATCGCCGGGCGCGGCCTGCGGGCTCGGGGAGCCTGGGTCGGGCATAAACGGCGCATCGGGATGTCTCCCCGGTGGTACGAGTGGTTCTCCCGCTGGGACCCACTTATTTGTGCTGCTGCCGGCCACACGGACTGTTCGGGGAACCCATGCCCGACGGAGGGAGCAAGCCGCGGCCAGCCCTTTTCGGGAGCGCCCTATTCTCCGCATGTCTCCCGGTGCGGTAACTGACCCGCGCTTCCCCCCCCACCCCCGTGCCAGCATGCCCTCTGTAGTGGAGGCGGATCGGTGGTGAGTTCAGGATGGGAAGGCCGAAGAAGCGGGGAGATGGTCGGGCCCGACCGTGCCCGTACCGAGGCGGCTGGCGCCGAGGAGCGCGACCGGACCGGGGCGAGCAGTGCGGAGGTACAGAGGCCTGGGGGAGGAAGGAGCAGGGCAGCCCTGGTACCTGCCGGCGGGTCTCAGCCCGGGTTGCGGTTGCAGGGCTTTCCCAAGCCGGCTGGGCTGGGGTCACCGGGCTATTAATGGTTATTTTATTTATATCATTAGCGGCGTCCCCTGAGCTCTGTTTACAGCAGGGCCTTGTTGTCCCGGCCGTTCCTGCGCTCTGTTTAGACAGGGGATTATTGTAATGGATGGAGCTCGCCGTGCGGATGCTGCAGCGGAGCCAAGAGCGCCGAGAGCCTCCCCCCCGGCCCGGGGAGCGAGCAGCAGCCCCGCTGCGGCCGCGCACACCGCGGTGGGCGGGCGAGGGAGCGAGCAGCCCGCTCCCACCCGCGGGCCCCGGCCGCAGGCAGCCCGGTAGCAGCGGCCGCGGCCGGGGGTCTCGCTCGGGGCGATGCTATCAGCACCAGGGCTGCTAATTGCTCCATTAGTCCTGCGGGTGCGGAGGGCTGGAGCCGGCCCCGCGCTAATGGCCGTAAACAAACAAACACGCTAATCCGGCCCTGTCTCCGGCTGCCGTGCTCGGGGAGCCGACGGGGCACGGCGGCGGGAGGCGCTGGGCGGGCGGCACCCACCTGCCCGCCGCCCCGGGAGCCCGGCGGCCCGCGGGCTGGGGCCGTAGCCGGAGCGGAGCGCGCCGCCGGGAGCTGCCCCCCGCGCCCGGCTCTATTTACACAGAGCCTGCCCTTGTGTAAACGCTGCGCGCCGTGGTTTATCTCAGGGCCCGTCTGGTTCTCGTTCTCTGTCAGCAGCGCCCGGTGAAGGATGGCCCTTTCCCAGGAGTTCGGTCCTGATTTATGTGAGAACCGCAGCGCGCCGGGGACGCCCCCGCACGGCGGGGCCGGCGACGCGACGCGGAGAGGCGGCGGGGCTCGGGACAGCGACCCGCCGCCGGGGCTGCCGGTGGGGCCGCGTCCCGTGCAGCCCGCACCGGCTCCGCACGGCCCGGTCACCTGCCGGCAGCGGACCCCGCGGTCCTGTCGTGTCCAGGGGCACGGCACGGCACGGCACGGCACGGCACGGCACGGCACGGCACGGCACAGCACGGCGCTCCGCCGTCTCCCGGGTGCGGCTCTCTTCGCACGCAGCCTCGGCGGCCCTCCCGGTGCCCAGCGGGCGCCCCTGAGGGGCTCCGTAAGGAGCGCACACGGAGCGGCTCCGCCGGCCGCTCCCAGCCCGGACTCACTCCCTGAGTGTGCCCACCCAGTCACGGCTCTCGGGGGAAACGATGGCGTTTGTCTCTGCCCTGCCACTTGCACAGGAATGGCTCTTTTTTACAACTTTGAAAATAAACATTATCTGTATTCCTCCGGAGAGAAGAGGGCTTCTGCAGGCGACAGAGCTGGGTCCAGGCAGGGGATGCAGCATGCTCACCCAGCAACAAGCTGGCTCCATCTCCCACTGCTGTGTCCCATCTGTGCCCAGGCAGTGCCTGCACCATCCTGTTCACTCGGGTCTGCCACTTGACACCTGCCTGCATCTCTCCGAATTCTCAGAACAGCTGGCTTGGTTTGGCCAAGAACCACCCAACTAATGCCCATTTTCTTGAAAATACAAATTTCTTGAGAAAAGCAAATACCCGCTTTTCCTCGGTATTTTTTTTGCTCCATTGACATTGGCTGATTTACTTTTGCTTCACAGTTCTTGCGGGGATGCATGACTTGGAAAGGCATCCCAAAACAAAGCCTCAGTGGAAAATAAATGTGTTTTCTAATGGTCAGAACCAGACTCTAGCATCCTACACATATATTTTTAAGGTGGGAGGTTGGTTTGAGGGATACCAGTAGCTGTGTGAAACATTCAGTGTTCAGCATTTTGAGGGATAGGAACAGCAAATACAAGGGTGCTGCTCATTGCAGCAGGGGGAACTCGGAAGGCTTGGACACCAAAGGGGAGGTTGCCCTTGATTTCAGTGTCAGATGGGCCTCTGAAACAGAGGCTGACATGCCGAGCTTGGTGAGAGCCACCTTGTAGGAGCAGGTAAAGGTCATCCTTCATCTAAGGCAATGCAGGATAGGAAATGCCAGTGCCAAGGACCCCCTCCTGCCTGCTTTTATTTGGCATCTCTTGTGCACAAAGGATGTCCAGGCTTCACAAAGCTACCCTGCTGCACAACACAGCCCTATGACTGTGGACGTGCAGAGGGTAGCAAAACACCTCTTCCTCTGTCATAAATCACAGTTACTGACCGTGCAATGAGAGGGTCCCCCGTGCAGCAGAAGGAGGACACTGCTGCAGGCACACATACACCACTGTGTTGATGGAGCACACCCCACAGCCTTTCTGGGAGTACCTTTGCTCCATGTCTCAGAAGCCATTGCTGTGTGTTTGTGTCCGTGAGGTCGAGAAGCTGAGCTGAAATTCATCCTTCAGCAGAGGCCCAGCATGAGGCTTGCTCACCGCTCGCATCCACAGGCCTGCGCACCACTTGCATCCCATAGCGCTTAAGTGGAGCCTAAGTGGACCCTGGGCCTTGTGCTGGCGACCTGCCCAGTGCTGGATTTCAGCTCCGAGCCCAGGCCTGCCGCTCTGATTCATGCACGTAATCCTGCTGAGGTCAGCGGGTTTCATCCTGCTCCCACCACAGCCCGCGGGACAGTTCACACGAGAGTGGCAGGGTCAGGCTCTGTGTTTGCATGTGGCATAGAAAATGGAACAATTAAGATTAAACCAATTAAATTTTAACAGGTCTGGAAAGCGTTTTATTACATAATAAACTGGAGGGATTAACCGTGTCGGGCTTTGCTCTGTGTGTGCTGGCGGAGTGGTTCCTTGGTGTCCGCAGCACTTGGTGTTCCTCCGGGCTGGAGACCTCCCTGTGCTGCCACTGGGGCCGGCTCTGGCAAACACAGCGGGCTGGGAATGCAGCTCCACGCTGCCTCCTGCTCCTGCCCAGCACTGTCCCCCAAAGCATTCCGGGTGTACTGCTTTCCTTAGCCCAAGAAGCCTTTCTAGAAGAAAGTTTGCAAATTATATGGTGGCTATTTCTATGGCTTCCTTCTGGGAGAGACAAGCCCTCATGCTTCTGTACAGGCATGCTGGTGAGGAGCAAGTGGCTGGACTGGCTCTGTGGAAGGTAGTGACAGATGTCTCATCTTGGAAACGGAGCTGATAAGTTGCTCCTGTTTAGGGCATCTGCCTGGCAGCCAGTCCCCACTTCTCTCCCTGCTTAATCAAGATTCCTCCGACTATTCCCATGCAGATGAAGCCATCCTGGCCATGGCTACCCCAGAGCTGGAAAAGCTGTGAAAGAAATGGTACACAGCTCTGGATTTGCCAGAGTGGTTTGTGGTTTCAGGGAAATTGAGCTGAAAAATGATGCAGGAACCAGCTTTGGCAGAAGTTATTCTGCAACCTTGGCTGAGCGCATACACGGGAGGTGCGCAGGCCTCTGGGTGGTGGCATTCCTCAACTCTGCTGGCATTTGTCTAGGGGCTGACATTTCCTCCGAGAGGCACCCACGGCCAGTGGCTGTTGCACTGTTTCATCTTCCTAGATGTGATTTGAGGCTGACCGGCTCAGGAGGATTGGACACACATATCCTCTGTCATGCAACAACCTGCACTTGGGGCTGGTGGGGGGAAGATGAGTCTGAGAAGCTCATAATTTCTGTCTCTTCTGGGTAAATATGGGTCAAAAGCCTATCAGGCTCAGCCCAAAGACATTTTGCACTGTCCTTCCAGAGGCCACAGCAGCCCAGCTTCCAATGCTCTGGTGGGTTTTCTCTGGAAGTAGAATGGTTGCTGTGGCTGGAGACTGGGGCATGTTCATTGGCAGTGAAGACAAACTGCTCCCTGGCTGATTACCGTGCCTGGAAAGGTTAATGGCAGAGCATGTGATTGGTCTGCACACGTCTAATAAATACCTATTCTTTTGTTTTCCTTTGAAATACTTTTCGTATTTAGCCTTGGCTGCTCATGTGGTTCCCTCCTGAACCCAGATCATCACTGACAGCCACTGTACAAATAGGGCAGCCCTTGTGTCCTGCACATGGGAAGGCAGGTAGGAGATTTGAAAGCTTCTGTTAATAGTTTATCTCTGGGTCTGCCTAATGAATTATCCTGGCAATTACTGTGCAGAAATTGTTAGTGTATCCTGATGATTCAGAACTTTCTAACAACAACTCTGGACCAAACTATAAACTGTTTTTCTATCCTGGAGTGGAGACTTGAGAGAGGACTCCTAATTGTTCTCATCCCCTCCGGGGCCGTAGCTGGATTATCCCACACAGGCTTCTCTGCAAACTTGTTTTTAGTCTATCAGTAGGCCCTTTGCCAGACCAAAGAGATGGGGAACTGTTTTCCTGATTTAAATCCCTCCCATCTACCCTTCCACTCCACTTACACCTCTGAGGAAGAGCATGGATTAGAAAGGATTTGCCCTCATGGGGCTTTGGTTTGGGTTTGTGAAGATCTGTCCTTAAAAGCATTGCCTTTTTTGTTTTATCCCTATGTAAACCTGACTCCCAGCTTTACGCAGGGAACAGGCAGAAGGGAAGTGCTGTGGTGTTCAGAGAGTTGTGATCTCCCATTTCTTCTGAAATACCTGCCTTTAAATGGCATTTCCTCTTGGAGACAGTGGCTTAACATGAAGGACAAACAGGTGGGGATGGACAAGGGTGGTGTTCCAGGAGCAGGACATGGCTGGACCCCTCCTGCTGTGGTTGCTGTGCTTCAGCCATGCATACAAGAGGCTGGATGGCTCAAAGGTTCTGCCAAAATATGTCCCTGTGCCAGTACTGACAGGGCAACCTGGATCTCTTGATATGGTGCCTGTCTTCTCCCTGTGCTATTGACGTCCCAGCACACTGGAGACCATGGGTATCCAAGCACATCTGGGATGCCCTTCCCAGGATCCATCCTGGTGCTCTCCCCCAGGATCCATCCTGCACTGAATGATCCATGCAGCGATGCTGTGTCAGGCCAGCACTTTGCTGGCACTGGGGCCATAGCAAAGGTGGTGGGGAGTTCGCATGGGGCCAAAGTAATTCTTCCCTTCCTCATCCCTCCCTCGCCAGGGTGGCAAGAGGCCACACCAGTGGCCATGCCCTGTCCCTCTGGAAGCGCTGACGCCTGTCTGGCTGCCGGGACACCCCGCCAGCCCCGTCCCAGGCGCATTTCCTGCACCCACAGTGCCGAGTGGGCTCTGTGCCGCATCCCAGGGCCGCCTGGGCCCAGGCTCCCTTCTCCAAACATCCCTCCCACCGTGCACCCGTGGTACCCCCGCGGCTCACCCGTGTCCGCCCCGCGCACCCGCCCTTGCTGACGGTGGGGAAAGTAGGAGCCGTGTCCTTGCACTGACCTTCATCTGACCTTCCAGTAACGCTCGAGAAACCCTCGGAAAGGCTTTCTCATTGTGCAGCCCCAGGGTTTCCAGGGAATTAGTCAGCAGGCTGGAATTGTGCTCTGTGTATGTGACCCCCCCCTTATCCCCCCCTCCTGCCTCTCCCATCCCTGGAGCCGGACCGGTCCAAGAGATATGTTGCCAGGGTGACAGCGAGGTGTGATGGATGGACAGAGAGTGGCTGTGGAGTGGCAGGGCCGCTGGTCAGTAACCCAGGGCTGTGTTTATAAGAAGGAAGAGGCTGTTTCCTGGAGCTAACATAATGCAGCTCTAAAAAAGGCAGGGGAAATACATCATGCGAGGGGAGCGCGGCCCGGGGAGGGGAGGGCCACGGGGAGCTCAGCACCACAGCGAGCCTCCAGGTCAAGGTGCCTTTGACAGGGGCTTTTTTATAGGCCATTTGCGTGAGAGTTCGCTGCTGTTTCTCTGCAGCCCTGACAGCGGCTCAAGGCCCAGCTGGGGTTTGGGGAGGGTCTAATCTAAACTCGCCGATTTCCAGCCCTTCTCCTGCAGGACCCGCTGATTTATTTGGAAAATAAATAATCGACACTGACTATTGTTTCATGGCTGTGGAGTGACAGTCCTCCGCCCTCAGTGTGGGGCTGTGCCCTACCCCACAGTGGACACTGGAGGAGCGGAGAGCTGTGGAAGGACCCTGT